AAAAAGGGGCTATAAAAATTCTGTTATGAAACGCCGAATCCGGACATACTGTATTTCGCTGCTTCTGACGTAGAGCGTATTCTCTTGTTCTTTCGTGCTTTTCAGCTTGTGTAATAACCTAAAAATACCCGGTATATATTTTGAGCACGCAATGAAAACAAATAAACATGCTAATTCGAATTTCTTTAAGAGTTCGGAAGCCTATGGAGTCAAGCATGAAAAGGAGAACCTACTTCTTTTGACGTTAATATAAGCGAGTTGTTTACTAGTCATACACCTTAACGGGACAGTTAAAACTGTAGAGAGAGTAGTTGGCTTATCTCATGAAAAATTAACCAAAACTTTAAACCATGTTTTTGCCTAGAAAGAATTCTTTAGGCTAAGGAAACGGTTTACCATGCAAAATAATCCCAAAATGATTCACTAATGACAGGCTGTCCGTTTTAAACTGAGCCTCTTTCCAGCCTTCTGTAAAAACTGCGTGGGATAAAACAGAATAATTGATTGATTTACATTTTTCGCATTGGTTATCGATAGTTTTATAAATCCAAATATATTTTATCGGCGGGTGTAAAAATTTCAGAAGGAGAGGATGCAATCATTGTAACACGGTGTTTTTTGGCACGCTGCTTCTGGAAATCTCTTGAACCCATCATCACAGACAGCTGTGTAGAGGGTGAAAAATTCTGTCCTGTTTAAATTTAGTATTTGAAAAATGGCAGCTTTTGGATTCACGAATAATTTTGAACCCACTCTATATATACACTTGCGACGAAAGCTTCCAATAGGCCTCCTGTATAATAAGTGTTATGATAACGCCGTATAAGGCTTACATGCGTTTACGATTGACGTGCACTTTGTTGAGTACTTCATAAATAGCCTGAATAAACGAACATCTTTGGTGTTGAATGAATGGCCATTTTTTCCTAAAAATTCTCATGCCGGAATTCATCTATTCTTTCAGGTACAAAGTTTGATGAAGATTTAATTCCCTACGAAATGCGTACAATAATAATTTTAATTTATAAGTACATTAAAATCAATAAGCGAAATTCACACTATATATTTATTCAATTGTTACCTAGTGTGGATTTCGAAGGTGGTCGAAACTACACTCATTCAAAAGCCAGCATCTTGTGGTGGCTTAAATATCGTTGGATTATGTTGCACGGTGATAATAATTACAAGCCCACCCAAGTAATCAGCTGCAAGTGAAAACTCTTTTCAGAATTTCTAATAAAATTTACAAGATAGGCCATTTATTGCAGATAGAGTCTAAATAGCGCATTGCTGGTCAGTCTATTAAAAACTTTACTAACAGCAATGTTACAGCAAGAAATGGGTTTAGAATACTCTTAGCTCTTGTTATCGGTCTTACGACTCGTCTGTAATCTCATAAGGTTTATAAAGAGGGGCCTGTTCAAATCGTGTACGCCATTTAACTGTCTCAATCTAGGATACTTGCTGTGACTTAAAGGGCTGTCAAGTGGCTTTAAGTCGTTTTCCTTATGAAAAGGGAGAGGGAGAATACACTAGTTCATTATTAAAATAAAAATTATGGAACACTCATTTATGTTAAGTTTGAGACTTTTTCTTTCATGTCTATTTTGTGCACTCACGGGATCACATAATCTTGGCTATTTCGGTCAGCGATCCCATGCCAATATTGAGTTTTAAGATTATATATCATATTTGATTATATGTTATGGTATGTTGTTGCCGCGCACAGTTTTGTTGTAAGAAGTAACTTATCGCGCTTGCCATCCTCGTCCTGTCGAAACGATAGTGGTCCACAACTTCTGCAGAAAAACTGGAGGGGCTGGTGTTTCAAGGGATGTTTAATTTTTAATTGCTTTCCGTAGCCTCACTACATTATCAGAGGTTGCTGGCTATATTTGAAATAGCTTTCGCGCGGTTTTTCGTCCTAATTTAGCCTCATATATTCACGAATACAGAGCTGCCTAAAGCTTTCTATAATCGACGCTATTTGTCTATACCACAAGTCTATGGTCTAAACTAAAGAACATGAACTGCACAAACATGAAACAAACAGTTCTTGGAAGCCGTCATAGTTAACTGGCGGCGTAATCAACACGGATGAATATATCCTCGACTGGTAGCCTGCTATAGTGCTTTAAATAAGTGCACTAAAATACACACACATTTTCGACCAAACGGGTACCTGCGGCTTTATATAAACCACACTTTAACGCCCTTATTTATCTGGAAATAGATGTGCATTGATAGTGCTACAAACCTAAATAAACAGTAATTGTACAATACTAATTTTGTGCAGAATTTCATCGGCCTCATTATTGAACTATAAAATTTACTCTACTAAAAAGATGTACGTCATGATATGTAC